CAAGGCAGTGGTCTCAAATTTGGCTGCAGATTAGAATTACGAGGGGATCTTTTAAAATTATCATTGCCAAGGGGTCTACTACAGATCTATTAAATCAAAATACCTGAGGTGGGGAGAGAGCCTGGGCATAAATATTCTTATAAAGCTCCTCAAATGACTCTTATGTGCAGTCAGAGTTGAGAACCCACCAAGTACAGGAGAGGGAATGCCATGGATGAGAAAAAGGTGCGGGCATGTGTGGAATATTTCTGACTCCAGTTTGCTATGTGTTACAAGCACACACTACAGAGATGGGGGTTAGAAGAGCAGAGTCATGTACTTAAAGAGAGGCATAAATCTTGTGGGTTAGGTGTTGCCTAGAGAAGGTAAAATGTGTAATTTTACATTATTAATAGTGAACTGTGATCCAGATTAGATTCCCTCAACTTGAGCAATAATGCCAAGCGTGATGGAAGTCAGACTGCTGTGGTTTTTCTCTACTGCAGTTTGACACTACATAGTTCAATTAAGTATCCTTAATCCTATCTAATAAAGAGGGAATATGCTAATTGACTGTCACACCCTCAAAGATGGCGGCACCCATAGCCACAAGATGACTGGCAGGGGAGGGTAGTTGTGGGCAATCAGGTCAGCAGGGGAGGGGAGTTGGGGGCAACAGGGCCAGCAGGGGAGCATTTAGGCATTGATCAGGCTGGCAGGCAGAAGCGGTTAGGGGCAATTAGGCAGGCAGGCAGGTGAGCAGTTGGGAACCAGCAGTCCCGGATTGTGACAGGGATGTCGATTGCCGGCAGTCAGATATCCCCTGAGGGGTCCCAGATTGGAGAGGGTATAGGCTGGGCTGAGGTACACTGATCACCCCCTCCCCCCAGTGCATGAATTTTGTGCACTGGGCCTCTAGTAGCCTATAAAACAAGCAAGTATGATTTTAGATATATATTCTCTCAGGATCATGTAGGAGATTGCTCACTGCAGTATTGTTGGTGGTGATTGGGAACTGAAGACTTTGCTAAGAGAGTAGATAGGTAGAATGTGGAGGATACGCACCATCAGACTATTATTGAGCAATGAGAAGCAGCAGGTTAAATATACATGTAGCAACATAAGTATTTCTAAAATCCATATAGATACTGGGTGCAAAAAGTATGAAACATAATGAGATATATAAAACAATATTATATTTGTGATAAAAGTGTAGCACACACAAAAAATATAGCACACAAAACAATATTTACTTTGCAAGAACCAAACAAAAATATAAACATTTTCTAAGGGGGAGGGAAAAGAGAGTGGGCGATAATGCTAAAAGGTAAATACAGCTCTGGCCAGTGTGGCTCTGTCGGAGCATCATCCCATCAACTGAACAGTTGTGGGTTTGATTCCTGGTCAGGGCACATACCCAGGTTGCTGGTTTGGCCCCAGCCCAATTGATGTTTCTCTCACATCGACA